GGTCTCATGAACTATAAAGCCAGGGAATAATTAAAATAATGTAAGGGTAGTCAGGAAAGGTTTCTTCGCTCAAAGCAGTTTTTTCCTATTGCTTGAAGAAAGTGGTAGATAGAGATTAGCAAAAAGGGCAAGGGGGGCCAGTATGAAGAAGGGCTTATATTATGAACTGGAGTGCTTGCTGTGTATAGAGATAGACAAAGATAAGGAGAGAAGGATGTAGGATTTACAAAAGGCTTGGGAGACAAGGAGTTGGGATTTATAAGGGGCCAGGCCACCTTCATAGTTTGAATGAGCTACTTTTTCTGTTTGATGTGTTTGTTCCTATTGGAGTTATTTCCAACACAGATTCTGATTTCTTTACTCTTTGCTATCCATTTCCTTTTTATCATGCAGAAATCATCCATTGCCATGACAACATAATGCAATCAGTGAACTGTAGCAGCTATATTTTCTATATTCAGGAGTGGTATGATATCAAGGCCATTTAAACAAACCTCTGTGTCACCCTCTCCCTATCTCTGTCTTGCTTTTATTAAACTAACTCATAATGGAATTGATAAACCATCAACAATAATTAGGCACAGTGGTAGAGTGAATCCCAATAATGTCAACATATATAAGCCTAATGAACTCTCAGCTGTAGTCTCAAATATTTATATGCTTTAAAAAATCAGTTCTTTAATATCTTCATATTTGACTTATATTTTATATGCAAGTAAAGTATAAGTAGGAATTTCTGGATTTAAAATAGACTGAAAATAAAGCTAGGAAACTGATTCACTTTTCCCAAGCTCTGAACACTTACATGTTTCATGCAAATCTGAAAATATGTGTAATATACTTATTGTTGAGTATTCTAAATACTGAAAGTAAGTCAAAGCATAATATAAATATACTTTACACATATACAAAAGAGTATGTGTAATACATAGATGCTAAATCAGGTAAATTCCAATTTGCCTCACTAAATTCAGTTAATTCTTACTTTGGTTGTTTTCTGTGTTTGTGGTCTCATTGGTGTAGGTACTTCTTCTAGCAGGATAGCTCACAACCCACCCACGTGGGACTCTTGTTTGTCCCCTTATAAGTCCTCTGTACGGGGTGCCACCCAACTTCCTGGAGGCTGCCTCTTGATGTCTTGATTTTATGTAGATACCAATATAGCACTCAGGATATCCATCAGGTGGTATCTTTCACTCTTGTTCTAGACCATCTCATTTTTAAATCATGCATCTGATAACCTTTAACACATTTCGGTAGCTTCTCGTTGGTAATATGCTACACCTTACTGTCCTCTGCCCTCTGTGCCTGTGGGTGACCTGCTACTTTAATTTCTCAGAAACTGTGGTATGCCATATTTCATAGCCTTAAGAGACTAAAAACGTTACCTTCGCTATAGGCAAGCAGTCTCTAGGTTGGGGAGCACTTCTACTTCAAACAGAGAGAAAGGGAATTTTAGGTGTTTGAAGAGGTTATTGGGTATATTCTTTAACGGGTTGTAACAACAACATGATTTTATTTTAATCTATCCCAGACCTCATGAAAAACATTTCTTATAAAAAATTCTTAGCATTGAAAGTGACTTTATTTAGTCCGTTCTCTCGCCCCCTGTAGAAATCAGCTCTTCTATGTTCAAATTCATATTCAGTAAGCATTTTTATTCCATCCACTATGCACTAGGTATCGTACTGGGTGCAGGGGATACAAAGAAAGAAAAACAATTTTCTAGCCACCAGGGACATAATTCTGTCGGGGAAACAGAATATGTTCACAGTTAAGTAAATTCAAAATAGACACAAAGGCATTTCAGGGAGGGGAGAGTTGCTAATCAGAAAAAGGCCCAATATGGGAGGTAATACTTGAGCTGAGCTTTGAAAGAATCTCAGATATTTCAAGAAGTGGTCACAAGAAGGGAGAGTGTTCCAGCCATGTAGGACATGGCCTACATAGCCACTGAGACCAAAGATGGCATGTCCTAGATAGGGCATTGAAGCTGGCCAGTTTGATAAGAATAGAGAGCATGTGAGGGGGACTGATGGGAAATCGGTCTGGAAGATAAATTGAAGCCATATTGTCAAGAGTTTTAAATCCCAAACAGTGGTTTGCATTTTATCTGAAGGCATTAGGGAGCCAGTGAAGTGACTTGACCACAGGAGTACATGGTCAGAACTATGCTTTACAGCTACCACTTGGGCAGCCATGTGGAGGATGGGTTTGAGAAGGAAGATGCTGGAAGCAGATACTAATTAGGAAAATTTTGCAGTAATCCAGGTAAGAGGTGAATGAGAACCTGAATTAGGCTGAAAGAGTAGAGAGAAGAGGATGGCGATGGGAAATGTTATCAAGGTTTGGCAATTGTTTCAGCCTGAGAGTCAAGGGAAGAGTGAAGGATCAAGAATGACTCTAAGGTTATGAACCTAGGTGACCAGGAGGAAAGGCCTTTGTCAGAAATAGGAAAGTAAGAAAGGCACTTGCCTTCTGCTTGAATACTTAAAATGATGTGAAACTTCACTTTTATTCCACTGTTGGATAGACAGAAAGTTTTCCTTTGTATTGAGTTGAGGTCTGCCTCCCTGTAATTTACAAATTCAGGTGGGTGATGCTAGATATGCCCAATTTGAATGCCATTGGAGGTCAATTTGTCTGTACAATCACTGTGTCCAGTTTTAGGATTTGCCTTCAACATGTACATACTTTACTATAGTAATCAAAACTACAAAAAAAAGTTAATGTTTTCTTTCTGTCTGCAAGTGATGTGTTCCTCAAAAGTTAGCATGGTGTGAAAGAGAGAGCATTGACCCTGGGGTCAGAGAATGTGGGTTCAAATCCCATCTCTGATACTGCTCTGTGTGATTTTGAGCAAGTCCCTTTAAGCTCCCTGGGTCTAAATGTACTCATGTGTAAAATGAAGGGCTTGGACTGGATGGCCTCTGGGGGCCTTCCAGCTCTGGAGCTACAATCCTGTAAATAATTATGTGTAATTATGTTTTAAATGCACTCTAAATATTTTTAGGGAACCCAACTGTGAACTCTTTGTAAATGTGAATAATACCCCTCCATACGTACATACACACACACACACACACACACACACACACACACGTAGTGTTACATATGACTCTTCAAGAGATCACTTACACAATATTGTGCCTGTCAAGCAGAATGCATTTTTATTTTGTTTTGTTTCAGTGTGAATCAGTGTGCTTGTGTGTGCTTCAGGTAATTGTCAGAGGACTTTATGTCCCTGACTTGTCAGGGTCCTCCGGCCTTTGATGGACATGTTCTTACACTGACCCAGATACCCAGCAGATAGCTCAGAAGGTATCGTCCAGGACACAGCTGTCACTGACCTTGTGGCCCAGAGCCATCCTAGCTTAAAATCTCTTTTGTTTCCTTGCTGGAGGAGGCAGCCTTCAGTTTAAATTGTACATACAAGAATTTTGCAGCAAACACAGAACCAAGCAAGCTGCCCAGAAATGCAAGATTCTCTCCAGTGCTGGAGCCTCACTACTCTGCCATGAAGAAACCTCTCCAGGTTTTCTGCTTTCCCTCTTGTTAAGACCATCAGCCGGCTCTGCAGCCACAGTGTAAGGGCCATTCTAAAAACACAAGCCCGAAGGTTCTGTCTCCCTCCTTTCTTCTGCTGCCTAGAGGTAGCCTCAGGATGAAGAGAGGGTTTTGGCTACAGTTACTGCCTTCCTACTCCCACAGTTCGATTGCCCTGCCTCAAAGATTGTGGTAACAAAAGTACAGGGGAGGGGACACACCAGGTGTGCCTGTGTCCACAGAGGAACCACAGAATCACACATCTCACTCTTCTTTTGCAGTAATCAACACAGAATTAGCTCTGTTTGTTGGAAGCCCTTGAAACTCGATGGTTTTTCATTTCATAAATTACTTCCCAGAGAATTTCATTGCATAGTTGGACTGGGGATGAGCATTTGGGGAGATAGGGCTCCTATGCTGGGCTTAGCCTCTGCCATCTTCAGTTTCACCTTTCCCCTTTTCCCATCATAGCCTGCCTATCCAAGCAGAGTGTCTGGTGGGGAAGCTTCAGTCCCTCCCTACACATTGCTTTCATGCAGGGAAGATCCCCGCCCTCTCTTGTAACCCTAAATCTTTGTAAGGCCCAGATTTACCACCCTCCTTTGGGCACTCTACATATACATAAACAGCCATTTGAAAACATAGCATGATTTCTAGTAGGCACCAACATATACTGTGAGATGCATAAAACTGAGATGTACTTTTACGTCCATTTTTACCCTGAATCTCTTGCCAACTTCCCCATTGCCCTCAATGGCAAAAATGTCAAGTGTTCTTACATCCGAAGCCTCAAAACCCATCATACTCTCTTATGCTTAAGTTCCTAAATCTGGAGTCATTTCTCATCCCTCTCTTTCCAAACCTTCTCTCCTAGCTCTGGGCACACACTTTGTCCACAGCAGGTCTTGCTGATTATTTGCTCCATAGCCTCTTTCATGTGAAGCAGCCCAGTGTAGAGAAGAGAACTGCCTCCATCATGGAGGCTTGGTTTGAATCCTGCCTTGATACATCTTGGCTTGGTGACCCTAATCAAATCACTTTAGCTTTTTTGGCTGCCTGTCATCTCACTGTTGATTCCTGTTGAGCTTGCAGTCCACTAAAACCCCCAGATCTTTTTCAGATAAATGTTATTTAGCCGCACCTCCCCCTATCTTTTATGGAGTTGATTTTTTTGGACCCAAGTATAAAACTTTACATATTACTATTAACTTTCATCTTATTAATTTGATCCATTGTTCTAGCCTGTAAAGATTTTTTTACATCCTAAGTGTGTCTGTACACAGTCTCCCCCGTTAAGTTACACATTCTTTGAGGGTAGGAAGTATGTCTCTATAATTTTTATTCTCCCTCCCCTACACTTCCACCCAGAAGGAGCTTCATAATCATTGATGATAGAATGTTTTATTTTGCAGCCTTTCTCATGGCACCTATTCTTTTCCTCCTTGTGTTTTCAGCACTCTCTCCAAACAAAGAAAAAATGTCATCAGCTGTGTCACGGTTCATGACTCTCCTTACTCTGATTCCTCCAGCAACAACAGCCCCTACACCATGCAGCATCGAGCAGGCCACAGCAATGCAAACACCTATGACCCCAAGGGGGCGCTGGAGAGCCATTGCAGCGGGAATCCTCGAACTATTATTGTGCCACCCCTGAAAACCCAGGCCAGCGAAGTGTTGGTGGAGTGTGAGAGCCTAGTACCAGGTAATGTGGGGCAGGCCAGGGAAGTCTCCCTGAAGGTTAGTTCTCCTGCTTTCTGTTATAGACTGTATGTAAAGTCTGGGGCTTGGTGCTAGCAATCACGAGTTCTGGTAGCTTCAGTTCTCTCTTCAGCTAGCTGACTGAAATGGGAAATGTGGAAGAGTGCAAAATGTGGCTGGAGGGAGTCGTGAGGCAGAGAAAGTATAGGAAAGTATTGTTGGAACACCTACGACTTCGGACTCATTTGATGAGTAAATCAAACCTCATTCATTTGGAACCCATGAATTTGAAACTTGTGCTACTTAGGAACTTCAGCTGAAGTTTACTCTTAAGCCATCTGTGAAAAGCGTTGGCTAAGGAAATTGAGAGGCGTCTGCAAAATTAGAAAGACATCGTTTAACTTACTAATAATGATAAACTTCATACACCAAAAAATGTTGATAGCACTGCTTTACAGATAATTAATATACATATTACCCATAATTCTTATCTATTCAGCAAAATAGGCAAGTTGGAATTCTACCTAGGAAAACTTGCTATATGAAGTTAAAACTGTAGTTTTCTAAAAATACTTTATAATTCAGACCACTATTTCAGACTGTCCTTCTTTCTGTTTCTTCCAAATTGGTGAGGTTTGACTACACTAACTAATGCTAAACAAGAGTAACCCAGTATAATCAGATATGATGGTGAGGGTGGGAGTAGCTGAATATTTCCATTGCCAAGCAGCATTCTTCACAGGTAAGCACCAGATCTCACGCAATGGGTTTCCAAAAGGAACATGAGACTTCTTAGGGGTGTTTGTAGCTTAAAGACAGCGAAACAAGATCTTTAAGGCCCAGGTAAGTGAAAGCAAAATGGAGCCAGATGCTTTCCTACATTAAACCTGCTTTGAAAGGAAACAATCGTAACAAAGATTGTCTCTCGTTCTCATGCTTCTATTTTAGGGAGGTTTTTATCATGATATGAAGATAAATGGGGACTCTACCATGTCTTGAAATAGAAAAAAAAAGTGCCTAGGGAAAGTAAAGCTAAGGAATAATTTAATTAACTTATAGATAAGTTTAATAGTCCATGCTAACTTACATTCCTATTAAACCTCACTCCAGTAGATAAGTAAGTAAAGTCAGGTACTCAAAGGAAGCCAGTAGTCCTTTCCGTTTACCTGGAAGAAATTGCTGCCTCCCTGACACAAGTAGGCAAATAGCTAGATACATCAAGTTTTAGAGTTGGGTAGGATCTTAGAATTATCTGTTGCTCCCCCTTCAGTATATAGTTTCCAAGGTTGATTGTTATAAGGAGAGTAATGACCAGTTGATCTTCATGTGTCTTCATTGGAAGCAACCACAGAGATCAATTACTTATATTCTACCTCATTGTTTTACAGATGGGGAAAGTGAGGCTCAAAGGATAATTAGTAGGAAGAGGTTATAAATTACAGGAAGGCTTTTATTTAGACATGAAAAGTAACTAAATCATAAAGAATTTTCTATCAGGATTGACTTTGAAACATACTGCTGTGGAAGACTGTGGAATCCACTTGATCTCAAATGATTCAGTTACCATCACTCCAAGAGGTAGACATGTAGAGAAATATGCATTAGCCTTTGAAGTTCTGGGGTGGTGGTGGTTGTTTGTGTTTTTCCTAGCCCATTGATTTCCAAAATCTACAATGGGCCAATCTCATTTTTGAGAGGAAGACTAGAGTGCACTTCTGCACCTTGTCCACGTGCTATGCTGCCTCTCCTAAATAACCAGACTCGTCTTTCTGCTACCTGAGCTTGCCAGTCCCTAATGGCTTCCATTTTCTTATCCCAGAAGGAACTGATAGTCATATTGTACTTCAGGTATGCTGTGATAGAAAAAGTGGTAGATTTGGAGTCAAGAGCATCTGGGTTCAAATCCTGACTCTGCTGCTTCCTGTCTTACATTGATGTTTGGCAAGTTATTTAACATCAAAAGGAGGGATTAAACCAGATAATGTCTGAGGTCCCTTCCAGCCCCAAATCTCTGGTCCTATGAAGGAGAAACAAATTGGCCTATACTGAGATTTACTGAACCTGGCTAGCTTCTCAGCTCTTGTCCATCTCTCAAATTCTGTCATTGTGGACTTACAGATAGCATTTATTATCAACCACCTTGATTGACCACCCACTGTGTGCAATGTCCTCTGTGCGCATGCTTAGTAACTAACGTAAGGTCATCTGTGTGTTTTTCCATACTCCAGTTAAATATAACTGCATGGTCATAACTCTACACTATGACATATCCATAGCCCATTTTAAAATCCCATTATCTAGGCTTTAGAATGGGGCTGATGTTTAGCTCAGCACAAAGGGTAAGGCAGTAATCAATTTCTCTGGTATCAGTGACAAGAATTTTGGCTTTGCTTCCTCATCTAAGGTCATTTTACAAAAAATATGTATAAATCTGATGTTAAGATGCTTTTTTTTCCCCCCAAGTCCCAGCACATCTTGGGGTTGTACCTCTAGAGCCGGAAGGGACCTCAGAGGGAATCGAGTCTAATCTCATTTTATAAGTGAGGAAACTAGAAGAGAAGTTAAGTGGCTTGCAGAAGGCTTGTATGGGTAGTAAGTTAGGGCAACATTTATTTAAGGCATTAAAAAAAAGCATTAGGTTTGGGTTATGATATTCCAATGTCTACAGTCTATTCATATGCTAATTAAACCTGGTTTGGGGAGAAATCTTATCAACCTTAGGTTTAACATCTCCATCTTTTTTCTGATGTCCTTCCAATAAAATGATCCCTTTATCTTACTTGACATATTTACATGAACCATTTAATTTTTTTTTTATATTTAAGTAGTTACATAAGTAACTTCATACTTATGATGAAATCATTTTCTTTTCTGTTTATTCCTTAATCACATAGGGACTTTTTTTTTTGTCTAGGCAGTGGGGTTAAGTGACTTGCCTAGGGTCACACAGCTAATAAGAGTTATGTATCTGAGGCCAGATTTGAACTCAGGTTCTCCTGAATCCAGGACCGGTACTCCATCCACTGTACCACCCAGCTGCCCCCCTTTTTTTGGGGGGGAGCACTTCCTCCTATTCAGTCTTTAGCTTACTCTTGACCAGGAACAAGAGAACTATTGCCATAACTCGCATTTAGACAGCTTTAAAGAGGGTATCTGTAAATTCTTTATCTGAAATAATTTCTAAAAGAAGGCAGTTGCTAACTGAAATCAGTTTAAAAGGCTATTTATTTAACAAATGATTAGATACAAAATTAAATCAGAGGGTCTACATGAAAAAGAGGAGATATGGAGGCTGCCCCAACCCATTCTCTGCTTCAACTCAAAGTAAAGGATATAGAATGTCCTGCTTTGAGTTGATGGAAGACAGACTGGGGGGGGGGAGTTTAAGCTACACAGGCAGAGATGTGGTCTCATGTCCTCTGGAAGAGAAAAGGAAAGTCTCCTAACAAGAAGCTAGAGAGAAAGGAAGAAATCTCAACTGACTCCTTCCATTTCATTGGTTTAGAAAGAATCTGGTTCTTGTCACTGGCGAGAAGAAAGCTTGAATTTTGGAGAGCCCAGCAGAAGTGGCTGAGGGAGACTTTAATTCCAAGTTAAGGGTCAAGTTGAATTATCAAGGTTAGCATTCCCATCAGTCAAAGGGGACACAAAGAGAAACTTAGAAAAATTGAAAAAAAAAAGTAAATATAGTCATCACGTGATTGTTATTTGGGGTTTTCCGTTGCTCTCAAGTAATGTTTAAATTTAGTCTTTATTAAAAGTCTGTTTAGCTGTTTTGGTATTTTATATTAAAAGGTATAGAAATTCATAGGTTTGAATCTGAGAGGCATGAGCAAAAAAGCCAGTCACAGGGAAAGTGTGCAACTTGCAGCTGAAACCATGAGAAGGTGAAATGAAACATGAAAACATGAAAATGTTCCCGCAACTGAAGCCACAGAAGCCCCCACCCAGACAGCACTCCCCTCAGTTCCCTTCTTTTTCCTCAGGAGACCGTCGTAACTCCTCGTGTCTATCCACTTCCAAATAGCAGCCCAGAGGGTGTGGTACTTAGCACAGTGATTGCATGAAGAACACGCCCAATTTAATTTAAGCAAAACTGGCAGACAGGTATAAAACTACTTTGGAGAGGTTCGTGTTTCTTGCTTTATATAAAGAACCGAAAGGCTTGGATTGGGTCCTGACCAGTGCTCCTGACAGTTTGTTTGGGGGTTTTGGGTTTGTTTAAGTTGCAGATAGATTATGCCATGCTACATAAGCAACAAACTAAAATGTTGATATATATGTGAGCCTTTTGTTAGTTAAGAGGCTTGTTTTGCTCATTTGCCCAAGTGAATCTCTTAAATGGTAAAATTGCAAGTAGTGATAGAAATTTAGGGCAGAGGACCATCCATTAATTAGCAACTTTAAAGCTTACTCTGGAAAAAGATAAGAGATCTACAAATGCCAGTGTAGAAAATCAAATTAGGCCTCAGACACATAACACTCACTAGCTGTGTGACTCTGGGTAAGTTACTTAACTCCAATTGCCTCACACCAAAAAAGAAAAGAAAGAAAAGGAAAAGGAAAATCCAATTAAATCCTCAAAAGAATCATGTGAGAGAAATACATTGTACAAGTATATTACCCCCATTTTATAGATGAACAAACAGAGGCTCAAGGAGGTTGTAACTTCTACTAATCAGAAGTAAGTTACCAGCAAGTATAAAGAATCTACAGAAGACAAAAATAAGGTCCTGCTGAATGTTAGCTACTAGAACTTGTTTCCTTGGTGTGTGTTCAAACCTAATTTTTTTTCATGGGTTAATGTAGCAAGAGCAAGAATAGCCTATATAGTATAGGTACACACATAAAGTCAAGAGCTCTAGAGGAAAGTAGAAGTCTCAGCATGTTGCATGGAGGATTCATTGGAGAACACAAAAGAGTCAGAGGATGAGAAGGCAAAGATGTGAGTGGGTTGCACCTTATGCCACTGGAGGGAGTATCCACACAGAGAGATCACAAGTC